TTAACTTAAGTGAAAGAAACCCTGGCAGCAGTTGGTATTTGTTTTTTATCTTTTAGTGTAAATTGATAATTAAGGAGTGTATTAATCCAAATTTAAGATTCGTGACTCCAAATATCACTGATGGAACTATACAAACATATCTAACAAGGCAAATAAATAAAAACAACAACTTATAGTTAAATTGTAAAATATCTGCAGCTTTGCAGAGCAACTCATTATCTGAAGAAATATTTTTTACATATGTGAAGCTCCTGTGTTCTTTTAGAATTTGCCACAATTACCGAATGTGCATTGCTTTTAGTTAAACCTTTTTTCTATTTAGACCTATTTTGTCTAAATGTGTAATTTGTTTAAATTGAGTCTGAAAGAAAAATACTTTCTTCAATTTGTTTTGTTTTCAACTAATTATTATGACTGGTTAAACTGTTCTTAAAATGTAGTTTTTATTAGATTTTAACAAAATGTGTTTTCATTTCCTGGGTTTGTTTAACTGAGCCTCAGAAACATAAAAAAAAGAAAATCTAGACTCGTGACACCAACCTAGTTAGGTTTAGTGGTTCCACTAAACTAAGCTGTTTAACAGCAACACCCTGAACCTGCAAACAAACAAATCATGTTGAATGAATGAACTACCCTAAACAGGTTGAAGTAAATAAATGAAGTCAGTTCCAACAGCATCTGTTACACAGTTTAAGTCCCACCATTAGATTACACAAACTTAACTATGTTACATTTAACAAACAGATTCTCTGAACTTGAATTATCCTCCTGGCAGTTGATTACTCGAGCTTATGTGGAATCAGCTGACACAACCTGGTTAAGTGGATTCAACACTTTATTTTTTACAGTGCGCTACTAATGCACACTTTTTTTAATTCTTAGCTTTAGATTGAAAGTTTTTACTTTAGGGACCGCAGCTCCAATCATTGATTAAAAAGATCAACCAGCCTGTAATCCAGAACATCATTCGTCTTACGAACTTTTTTATTTCTTTCAAGAATAAATCTGAAAATCAGCTCAAATGCTGCGATGGACTGGCTATCGGTCCAGGGTATACCCTGCCTGTTTGCCAGAAGATTCCTAGAGATAGGCTCCAGCCCCCGCGACCCTGTTTGGATAAGCAGGTAAAGAAAATGGATGGATGGATCAGCTTAAATGAAAGTAGAAGTATCTTTTGCCCTTTTTACTTATCGTTACGTACACTCATAAAATGTTATATTATTCTAATATAAGAAAATGCATCATATTTGATGTATATTTCCTGGTTTCTAAGTGCTTAACAGGAAATTCCTCAGAAACCTGCTGCTTAAATCTCAAGTCTTCTGCCCGGCAGGTGGTGTGGGTTTAATTTCTCTCTTTCGTTTAGTTCTAAAATTGCACTATTTTTTATTTTACATATAATTACATTGTTATATTTATATTTCAAGAAATAGTTTAAAATGTTTACATTTTCTATATTCCATCTGTCAGGTTGTAAAGGACAAATTCTCCAGCTGCTGCTTCACTAAATAAATCAGGATATTTTAGATGATATAACAAACTGTACAGCTAAAAAAAACTCAGCTGGAAAATACACTGTATAATCTGGTAACTTTTATTAATATTTACAGGTTACAATCAAGGTTTAAATACTACATTTTTGTCAAAATGCTATTATAAAATAGACAAAAGAAGGTGTAAAATTAAGACAATAAACGATACGTTCCTGACTCACACAAAGTTTATTTTAAAGTCTGAAACTGCTGGAAAAAGTTTGGTGGATAATTAAGTCACATTAGTATTCACATCACCGCAGGTCTGAATATGTAAGAGGCAACAGTTAGCAGTAGTCGTTAGTTACTCCACTGTTTATTTTGAAACTGTTATACTACAGTCGCTCATAATAAGAGGAAAGGACTTTTTACTTTTCTCACTTCCAGCCTCTCCCGTGTTGGAAACAGGAGGAACTGATGTGAGCAGAGCTGACAGCGATGATCGGCCTTAATAACTAGAAAAACACAGAAAGAACTCAGTTCTACTCTCCTTTTACCTCCTGCTGTAATTATCAGCACCAGACCTTCCTGCTATAGCACGCTTCAGCACGTTCTCTCAGAAAATACACACCAATTCATTCAGCCGAGGGTTTTATTGTCAGCTGCCTATTTTTTAAGATTAAAATTACCAGGAACTTATTTTTCTGCCCAATCCCACATCATAAGCTGTCTAAGTCATTCTAATTCGTTTAAAAACATTGATGCATTTTATTGTTTAGTTCCATTTTCTGATCTGATCTCCTGGATACTATTGACAGGAGAAATTCCATTTATAATGGGATATTTTTTCATCACTTAGTAAAATGGTGAATGAGTCCAGGAAGCCCCCCCAACACACTCTACCACAATCAGTCATTCACCCATTTGCACCTTGGTGGTGAAGAACTACATTGTAGCCACAGCTGCCCTGGGGCACTATCAGTCCCTCCGAACCCCACCAGCTGACAAGGTGGGTTAAGTGTCTTGCACAAGGACACAACAGCAGCAACAGACTGAACGGGGCTCGAACCTGCAACCTTCTGATTAGGGGGCGAGTACTTAACTCCTGTGCAATCGTCACCCATTATTAAATGGTTTTCATGTTTACAGGAACATTTTTTCTCATGTTTTCTGCTTCAGAATCCAAATGAAACGATAATAACGAGACATTGGGTGTTTCTCAATGCCAAGGAACATCGCCTTGATGTCTTGGCCCCGCCTCGGTTGCCGAGGAGATACGCCATCAGAAACTACCAAGGCATGTTCCAATGTTCATGTTCTACCGAGGCGTCTGTTCTTGTTTGTTAGCCGTTTAGTTAGCTGAGCAAGGATACACGGGAGGTGTCTTGCAGCCTAGTCTTGGTCAAAAATTTCCCAGAATACACTGCAGTATTTTTAAAAGGATGGCAAATCAGAAGCCGGCAGATACTTCGGGGGCAAATTTCAAGTTTAAATGTAAGACAACTAATTGTAGCTATTGGGCCAAAATCTGAATTGTTTTTTAGATCAAAAGAAGTTGGTTAGTTGCTTAGTAATTGCAGCTTCGGTGGCTAGCAGGTAACTCGCTTACGTATTTAATTAAACCAATATATACACAATTTAAAAAGTAAAAGCCTTGCTATATATTTATATTGAAACTTACACATATAAAATATAGCGTTATCTTCCGTGTCATGCAACATTACGCAAGTCTGTTCCATTTAACCGTTTCCTTTGACCAAGAAAGGACAATGTCCCCGTAAGCAAGGCGCCTGGCCTTGCAAGATATAGCCTTGCGAGGCCAGGTGCCTTGACATTGAGAAACACCCTTCAACTTTAATGTGTCTCACTTCTTCAGTGAAGTTTGGCTCACATGAGAGAGCCGTTAGAATTTTACGTCATCGCAGTGTAACTCCGTAATACCGCAGAATTTTTGTCGAGGTGTCTGCGACCGACAGTGGCGTCTCCAGAAAGGTTTCATATGGAAAAAGATGGAGAAATTTTATGGGTGGCACACCAAATGGGCCCTTGTGGTAACTCTCTCCTTTATTCATTAAATACAAATATGCGTCCAACACACATCAAATTTTACAAACACAAACATTTTAGAATAAGGTCAGTGGGGTGGCCAGCAATTTTCTAGGGGTGGCCATGGCCACCCGTGGCCCCCCCTTTGGGGCACAATTGGCTGACGTGGAAAAAACGTCCCAGAGTTGTTTTCCAGGCGGTGTGCGTTTACAGGTCGGCCATGCATGCTGAGCTGACAGCAGTAGATAGTGTTACACATTTCTTACTGGCAGCTCTGACCTGCACCAGACTGATCAATATGCAAGAAGGCAGGTGGGGGGAGGGGGAGGGGAGAATAAGTGGGAAGGAGGATAAAAACAAGGGAGGACAGACGGAAGCAAAAAGAACTGGATGCTGAGATGTGAGAATGAGTCCAGTTATCTCCCAGATGACCCCGGGGATGTCTATGCTTTCAGTGGTTCAGAGGTGGGGGGGGGGGGGGGGGGGGGGGGGCACTAAGGGGTGGGGGCCTGGGGGTCTCTGGGTTTAGACACGGAGGAGGGTATTAGCTTTCACACACTGCTGGGGTAACGGGGGAGTCTGCCAGATGTCAGCTCCTCACCCATAAATCCTGCTAAATGGGCAGCAGCCGAGGAAGACGGCTGAGCTGAGCGGGACGTCAACTCTGCCGTTCTCTGTGGTGTTTGTCAAAATCTGAGCTGAGCTCGTAAATATTTGATTTCACTCGCATGACGGCAATTTTTCATTCGCTCATTTCTCATCACAATGGTGGCTCGCTCATGTGTGTTCTTGATTATGACAATTTCCTGTGAGGAATCAATCAAAAAAGGAGCAGAAATATGGCCGTTCACCTTTGGTTCTGTCAGATAAAGTGTTGAGCCGCTGTGCAGAAGGGAAGAAAACACGTAGGAAGAAAAAAGAAAAGCTCAATTACAAACCTTTTACCCAAAGTAACTTTTGCTGTCATCCTTTCATCATATTCTCTCCGTCTAATGGATTAAAGCAGCAGCAAGTTTCCAATGAAAACTCATCTTTGATATTTAACAGAAGTTCTCCGTGGATTTTACCTGCTTCTGACCAGAACTGTTCGTTTTAGAATTGAATCTTCTGCTTTCATGTATCTTTGATGTTAGCTGACCTACACTCAGCAGTTTCTCAGCTCCACTGACAGCAGAACGGTCAGGTATGTAGAGTGTGCTCTAAAACCCTTCTTAGGAACTGACTTGAACTTTCAGGCCAGCTGCTCGAACAAAACCAACCCCCAACAGGACAATAACACTCAGTCCTTAGGCCCAAAAAAGCTCTTTAAAAGCAGTTTCCCTTTTACAATCCCTCAAGGCCAGTCAGGTTTACAGCTAAAGTCACTGATCTCAGGTCAGCTTTTAACACCAAACTGATTCAAACCACCATACGTGGAACCTGGACCAACAGCTCTTTAGCAGCTCTTACTGATGTTTCTCAGGTTTGTAGTTTCCTGCTCACCATTTTCCGCTGGTTGCTGAGGCAGAAGGTACAGATGTGCTTGGGCTGAGCTGACTGGTCAGATCCCCGGGTGGGGGAGGAGCTGACGTGGAAGAACGGCGGTGAAGGAGCATGGCACGGCTGTCCGTCGTGAAGCCCTTCGCCCAGAAGCAAGACGTTCCCCAGGTGACTTATGTAGCTGCTGGCCAAGCGGAGCGTCTCGATCTTTGACAGTTTCCTGCAAAAATCAGAGAGAAGGGATCATTTTAGCTTGAACTCTTCCCCACCTCAGTTTGCAGCCACCTGTCATGAGGATGTGTGCGTACCTGTCTGCGGGCTCGGTGGGGATGAGCGTACGCAGCGCCGTGAACGCTGTGTTGACAGAGTTGGTGCGATCTCTTTCCCGTGCGTTGGCAGCGGTTCTCTGGCGACCTTCTCCAGGAGGAGATGAGCCTGGGGGCACCAACCTACCCACCATGGTGTCTACACCCATTCCTCCACCCACACACATCTTCCTCTTTCTGTTCACTTTGATGTGGAAGGCTGATTGGGACGAGGACGACAGGCGGAAGGAGTTGGAGGAATTGGAGGTGCGTTCTTCAGAACCGGACCCTTCGCTTCCATTCTCATCGTCGTCTTCTGAGAGGAGGGCGATGTCGCTGTACAAGAACCGGCCTGCAGGTGGTGCTGTGCGTAGCATAGCAAATGTCATTTTCAGTATGACAGCTACTGTTCGCACTTTAGGAGAAAACTGCTGAATTTGCAGATGTCCACTAAGGGTTTGTCAGGTTACAGTTTGGACTTGAATCTTCTTTGGTAGAACTGAAGAATCAGTTGATCTTTAAGTCGAAGTCAGATCAACCTGACTTCACATCAAGAGGTGGTTGCAGATTCCAGATCCTCTCAGATGATCTTTAAGCAAAAGTCTTTCACATCCACCAGTGCTGCGTACGCTTTAGTTACTCCTTTTGAAAATTAACTTGAACCTACTTATTAAAGTGAACTCACTTCTTTGAACTTGTAATTTTTTACTTTGGTCTCTACCTTCATCAGTTCCTCTCCAAGCCAAACTAGCAAAAGCCTCTGTTTGCCGGTGAATTCATGCTTTCTGTTGGTCTCCCAGTCGTCCTGCTCTTCGCTGCCGCTCTGCTCCACGTGTGCGTGTGATCTGACTGTTTGAGTCTGACTCTGCTCTTTTAGGTGGTGGGAGGGTTGGAGGACTGTCGCGCTCCTCCTCCTCTGAGCAGTGAGAGTCCCCGGGCTGCTGTCTAAATGCAGACCAGAGGGCCCAGAGGCCAGAGGCAAACCATCGGCTGCAGTTTGTTTTGGCTGCATGATGATGTGTTCCAGGGGAAATCCATGCTTAAATGGTGCTCACATCAGATCCAGGGTCATCTGCAACTCACAATCCAATCAACAAGGCAGGCAGATACAAAGCTGTCAGCTAGCAAAAGCTATAAAAACATGAAACAAACTTCCTCTATGAGCTGGTTTTCTGCAAAGATGCAGCCTGACTTTCCTAAAAGTCATTTGAATGTTGATTGTTGTTTGTAACTGAACATTTTTACCATTTAACTAGCAGAAATGACAACAAACTTTCATTTTTATAGCTACTTCCTCCTCAGGGATGAATTGTATACTTTGAGTAATAAAGTGAGCTTCCCCTGTCTGTTTCCTTTCCTTTCCCCTGCTGCTCCCTGTGTTTGGACGGAGCTGGGAGCTGGTGAAGCTGCGGGGCAGGTCAGACCGAGCCTGTGAAATACGACCGGAAATGGATTTATTCAGCCATGACCGATGCCTGGTGATCATCACAGGCTCTAATGCTAGAGGGCCTAAAGGGCCTCACGCAGTCGAAGGATTTAGGTACAATAGTGATGAAGAAAAGGTACACAGACTTTGAATCTGATGCTTTTCTCAGTCTTTCTTAAACAATCCGACTTCCTCTGGAAGACAAGAAAGCAAAAGAAGCACAAATAAAACACAGTTTGACAGTTTGAGATTTTGGTATCATGATTTCATTCATTTTCCTTTATTTGTAAAGCACCTTTATGCCGCCAGTCCAAGCAGCCCAACGTGCTGCAGACTAAAACAAATATAAAACAGCTGGACTAAAAACCCATTAAGATCTATTAAAACCAAAAACACATCCAAGCACCTTGTCGATTATAGAAGGAAGAGGGTTCCGGAGCCTTGGGATAAAACTGAGAAAGCACCCCTGGTCCTTCCTTTTAATCTGGGAAACACAAACACCTCAGCTGAGAGAAAGGACCTTGATGGCGTATACTTTAAAATCAGTGATGCAGGACAGCACCTTCTGTGCTAGTGACTTGTAGCCTAGACAGGAGCCAAGACTTTAAAGCTGGATTACGTAGCTACAAGTATTTACTTCAAAAATCACTTCTGTCAGTGCACCCCACGGCAGCGGCTACACGGTATGCTGCTCAAAAAAATGAAGGAAACACTGAAACAGCTGTGACGTTCACGAACGAATAAAATCTTTTGAACGGGTTTTCAAAGTGAACCATGAGAGCCAAGTTCCTGTAGAGAGTCGTTCAAGGTAACAAGCCTCCCTGGAAGTCGGTAAAGCGCACCCGCTCAAACCCCACCTACCGGCGGACGTATAGAAGGAACGCTACCCAACACTATGCACCCACACGGACACTCAACCTCAATCAGGGATGTGGACCCCACCTGACAGCCACCAGGAGCGAGCAGGCAGATACCAAAACCTTCCAACCCGAGACTGGAGCTGCGAATGCGCAGTCAGACTGAGGCACCAGCTACCAGCAGGAAATGTGGTAGCAGCGTAGGCAAGGATGTTGTAGCGCTACAATATTTCCCAGGAGAGGGGAGGAGTCCAGGACCCCACCTGACACACAAACAAAAACACAGTCACACACTCCCACCCTCTGCGCACACATACACATTCAACCTCAAAACATATGGAACTAGGATTGGGACAATATTACCTTTAACTTGTTTTGTAACATGTAATTCTCATTTTGTAACACATAACTTCTGTTTTGTAACACGTAACTTCTGTTTTGTAACACGTAACTTCTGTTTTGTAACATGTAACTTCGGTACATAACATGAAACTTTTATTTTGTAACTTGCAGAAAAATAAGTCAGTGTGCACGTTTCAAATCACTACTTTCAAAACACAAATCTCAGTCTACAGTTACAAAACATTTTGTCCCAATTTTAGCTTGCTTCCAACAGAAATTGTCTTCGGCAGGAATCCAAGACTCATGATTGGCTGGTCAGACAAAGCCTGTCATTGATTCTTTGGGAAGGCCTCTGAGGGAGGGCAGCGCAGGCATCAACTGGCCTACACCAGCTGGTGCCAGCACACATAAATGTAGAAAATTAAAAAGTCACGTCTCACAGGAAATTCTCAATAGTTCTGCCAAAATAAAAGTGTAATGCTAAGTTAACAGTGCTGTATTGGTTTATAAGATAATATCACTCCAACTAACATTTAGGAAATTTGAGCTGTTTTAGGATGACAACAGTCACTTTGGACTTGGCCATTACCTTCACAGCTTTAGCTGCTTTTTTCCACAAAGAGGCCATTCAGGAAGCTCTAGGGGTGAGATCGTAATAACACTTTTCACACAGAAAGACTTCATTAAGCACTATTGTCAACCCTACATTTAAACAACAGTAGTTAAAAGTTGACAATAGATGTAAAGAAGTCTATAAACCAGTAGCATCCCACTCAACCTCTAACCACGGCTTCTGTTGATGGTATGCCTCCTTTGTGCAGATTGGCAACAACTGCTGCTGCAAACTAACTATACGAGGACCAATTTCAGTTACACAGTATTACAGTCAGCATTCATCACTCTCAGCTTCTCCACATGTCTTCCTACGGTTTCTACCCTCCGGTTTCAGCCGTCATGTTTACGCTGTGGTATTTAGTGAATGAACTGAAGCCAGTGCTGGTTGCAGCGGTTAACTTCTGTACAAACAGAAAAAGCTCCAAACACCGAGGACTGAGGAAGCAGAGGGATGGGTCAAACCTCTGTATCACACTGAAAACAGAGTATGGGCACATTTTCTGAGATGTTTAGTTTTCGAAGAAAAAACATGGAAAAACTTTAGGTTTGGACCCTTTAACACTATTCATTCTCTTTGACACAGGATTTCTTTTATGGCAGTATTTATGGTGCTGTCCTAATGTTTCACAATAATAACTTTCACCCGCAGCAGTAAGGATGATACTCAGGTCTGAGGCAGACTTGGTCTGGGATTTGGGCGAAGACCAAATGAATGAGATCCTGGACCCGACTAACAGAAATTAGATTCATGTTCAGGCTTGCCTAATTTACGCGTCTCCATCAACTCGAGTGTGGAGTCGTGCACATGCATTGATGGAGATGTTTTCTTTTCAGGCTTCTTTGTCACCTGGGAAGTGTTGCAAATCAATTCCCCGCCAGGACAACAGAGGGCGTAGCGCTTATCTGGGGGTAACTTGCCACCAGATTTACACAGTTTTATTGTATTTCAGAGACTTTTTTTTTACTATAAACGAACTTGTCCCTCATTCTCCTCCAAATCTTCATACGGTCTGCACCTCTAAACCCACGTTTCTCATCATTTCCATCCATGAATAAAACGCTTGCTGCACATCTTTGTTCTCCTTCAGTCATGGTTGAATTAACGTTCGTATTTTTAGATTCTTCCACGAGACGTTTTACAATCCGTTCTGTGTCTGCCACGAAATAACTTTACTTTTTGACAGGGCAACGGCAGGACTGTTGACAAATTTACAGGAAGTGGCATCTTGACCAATTACAAGCTTGCAGTTTCCACCACTTTTAATGGATAGTTAGATAGTCTCCATCAGCCTTTGTGAATTAGTTGGAGAGCCCTTACGCCGACACATAATGGCGTTGGGTGTCTCCGTACCAACACAGACCGAGAGGTATAAATCAGGCTTAGAGACTTGGGACCTTACACAAACCAGGGTCTGAACATTCTGTAAGTCATTTTCTGCGCAAACTTTAAATAAACCTTGACCTGGTGTAAGCACATTCTGGAGACGGGAAACTGTCAGCACAGCTGGTGAAACGCTGAATTTCAGCTGCATTTATAGACTTGTAGACCCTTACACACACACACACACACACACACACACACACACACACACACACACACACACACACACACACACACACACACACACACACACACACAGATGCGCCTGATGCCATCTGACCACTGCACTATCAGAAGGCCTTCCGATTATTTGTGATGTCACAACTGTGACCCCAAATTCAACGTGTCCTGTGCTTCTACCTCATCCGCAAGCATCTACGTTTCAGTCTCAGTGAAAATTTGCTCTCTAGACCTCTTGGTTGCCACCATCAGTTGGCTTCTGCATAGAGAAAATATTCATGGGCTTATTTCCATTGATCATTTATAAAAACCACCGGAGCACATAGCTCTGCATGCACAATGTTTTATACATTAGAACTTCTCTTTGTATGAGTAAACTTGAATTTAAGTGGAGTTTTAGTAAGGGTTCTGTTCACAGTTTTCTACATGAGGCCCCAGATGAAGAGCTCCAGCCTCTGAGGGAAGCCTGGAGTGGAGCTGCTGCTCCTCATCAAAAGGAGTCAGCTGAGGTGTTTGAGACATCTGATCAGGATGCCTCGTGTCTGGGCTTGTCCCACAGGAAAGAGACGCTGGGATGCCTCTAGAAAATTTTGATAGGGGTGGTCAGATGGGGCCAAAGACATTTTTGGGGTGACACACCAAATTGGTCCTTGTGGTAACTCTGGGAGAGTTTAGCCTGTGGCAATGTATTGCATTGCTCCTTTATTCGTTTTAATAAAAAACATAAATTAAAAATAAAAACTGTACATATCCAAAACATTATTTAAATTTTACTAACACAAACACTTCAGAGAAATACCTTTCAGTTATATTTTTTTATGTTTTTTAATGTTTTTTTATGTTTTTTGTTTATTTGGCAGACACTTTTATCCAAAGCGACACAATTTATAACCTATAGGGCATGTTGTGATCATTTAAAATTATTTAAAACGTAATTTCAAATTTTATTTTAAAATGCGTTTATTTAACCTGTTGCTGTGTTCTCAAAAACTGGTAAAAAATGGTGAGCAGTAGAAACATTTGTATTTCTTTTATTCTGACTATTT